TTCCACAGTAAAATTCGAAGAGCCTAGACAAAAACCTGTCATAGTTCAATGCTCCAAGTATCAAGACTTGGGGCACACAAAGACCTATTGCCATCATCAAGCGAGGTGCGTAAGATGTGCCGGGCCACACGCATCTAACACTTGTCAGATCCCTCGAGACCAGCCTCCTAAATGTGCTCTCTGTGGCGAAGACCATCCTGCAAGCTATAAAGGATGCATAGTATATAAAAAATACTACAAGTTAAGCACTCATAACATAGCCTTAAAGTGCAGCCAACTAAATAAAGAAACTTACACCCAGCCACCAGAAATTGATATTACAAATTTTCCTGAGTTGCCAAAACAAACTACCCATTCAACACAACAAGAACCAACTACTTCAACTGAAATCGCCCATCCTCAACAGGAATCTACCAAAACTAGCACCCATACCATCATCAAGAAGCAGCAGCCAAGACGCCAGGCGCCTCAGGACTCCCAAGCTAAACCTCATACTCCCAATCCTCTCATATTTCATCCTCCACGTCAGCAAATTCCCCCTCATCATCTACCTCTACGAGTCAAATTACCGCCACAGCAATCGCACCCATCTCATCCTAATGCCCAGAAAAAAAACCCAGCACAAGTATCGTCGAATCCAGTCCCACCTCGTACACAACAACGAATCCCACTCTCAGTTAACACTCCTTACCCGCCACCTGAACCTGTCCTAAATCCACTTCACAATCAACATCCATCTGATCTAACTTCCATTCTATCATCCTTCCTATTGGACCTCCAAAACACCATAAAACCTCTTATCACTCTACTAACCAGAATCCTGACCGAAATTCCGTTTAATTTCCCTCGATGAGCACAAAGCCCCTAACTATCCTTTTATGGAATGCTAACGGACTACACAACCACCGTGACGAACTTGACATATTCCTTCATGACAATCACATTGATATAGCTCTACTGACTGAAACGCATTTCACAAAACTGACACATTTTCACATACGAGACTACATCACTTATAGATCTGACCATCCAGACAACACTGCCCACGCCGGTTCTTGCATCCTTATACATAAATCTTTACCCCATTCCCTTATTCCTTCCACTCCAACTGACGCCATTCAATCAACTTCTTTAATCCTTTCAACTCACCCTTTCCATTTCACAGTCTCAGCTGTATACTGTCCTCCTGGTAATTCCCTCTCCTTTAATCTCCTTGATACGTTGTTCCAATCCCTCGGATCGCGCTTTATTGCTGGAGGAGATTACAATGCTAAACACCAACAGTGGGGTTGTCGAACATCCAACTCCCGCGGTAACATCCTTTCCCGTCTCTCATCTTCTAATAGTTATTCAATCCTCTCGCCCATGAGTCCTACTTATTGGCCAACATCCCTCAAAAAACGTCCCGATATCCTGGATATATTTATCACCTCCCAGATTTCCTCCTCCCAAACTATAATCAAATCCCTGGATGACCTTTCTTCAGACCATAGTCCGGTTCTGCTTTCATTACATTCTGACTTTGCTCCTAAACCATCACCTCCCAAACTGATCACTGGACGAGTAAACTGGGACAAATTTCGTGATGATTTGGAAAACAAACTTGACCTCAAAATTCCGCTAAAGACAAAAGAAGACATTAATGGTGCCATAGAAAAACTGACATCAACAATAACAGACAGTATAAATAATAATACCTTTATCAATAAGATTAACAAACCACAAAATACTAACTTGCCACAGCATATTCGCATCTTATTAAAGGAAAAACGCAGAGCAGGATCGAAGTGGCATCGAACTAGATACCCGACAGATAAAGCGCATTACACCCAACTGACTAACAAACTGAAATCAGAAATAAGAAAATACAAAATTCAAAATTTACTAAATTTTACTGAAAAACTTACACCTACCGATAAATCACTATGGACGACCACTAAAAGGCTCCTGAAATTTAAAGACTGCAACCATCCACTACTCACTGAAGCCCAAACCTGGTCCAAATCCGACGAAGAAAAATCCCAAATATTTGCCCACCACCTCTTTAAAACCTTTAATCCACATCCCGATATTCTTAACCCAAATCACCTTGAATGTATTGAAGCAGAACTGGATATCCCACTCCAAATGACTCCTCCTCCTAAAGCCTTTCATCCTTCAGAAATATCCAACATCATTCACAGGTTACCTTCCCGCAAAGCTCCTGGACACGACCTAATTACATCCCAGATCCTAAAACTACTTCCTCGGAAAGCCATTCTATTCCTTACATATATATATATATATATAATGCTGTACTCCGATCAACATATTTTCCCGACCCTTGGAAACTATCCATTATCAAAATGATACATAAACCCAAAAAGCCACCAGAATACCCATCCTCTTACCATCCTATCTCTCTTTTACCCATCATGGGAAAAGTCCTAGAAAAACTCATCCTAAAACGCCTTTACCCAATCCTAGATTCTAATCACATAATCCCAGATCACCAGTTTGGATTCCACAGATCCCATTCCACTATCCAGCAATGCCATCGTGTGGTGGATGTTGTCTCCTCTGCATTAGAGCGCGGAATGTACTGCACGGGAGTCTTTCTCGATGTAGAACAGGCTTTTGATCGAGTCTGGCACCCGGGATTACTTTACAAACTCCGTAAATTCCTACATCCTACATACTTCCTCATTATCCGTTCCTATCTAACTGATAGATACTCAAAAGTCAATCACAATAATGCTTATTCATCCCTCTTTTCTCAGTCCGCTGGTGCTCCTCAAGGTAGTATCCTTGGTCCTATCCTTTACACAGTTTATACAGCTGACATCCCAACACTGTTATTACCACGTATGCCGATGATACATGTGTCCTATCCGTTAATAATGACCCAACCATTGCATCCCAAACTCTTCAATCGCACATCACAAGCCTTGAAGAATGGTGTAAAAACTGGAGGATTAAAATAAATTCTAATAAATCCCATCAAATCACCTTTACCCTTCGACGTAAACCTATGACCTCATGTCCCACAGTATCCTTTAATAATACCCCACTTATCCCTGTTGAACAAATCCGATACCTTGGACTTCACTTGGACAAACGTCTAACTTGGAATCCTCATACCAGACTGAAACGACAAGAAACCGCTCGACGTTTCCGACTACTCCAACACTTACTAGACAAACGCTCTAAGCTTCCAGTACATTACAAAAGACTTATATACATGACTACAATAAGACCTATTTGGACTTACGGAGTTGAGCTTTGGGGCTCCACTAAGCCATCGAATTCCTCTCGTATCCAATCCTTACAATCCAAAATCCTTCGGAAAATCCTCAATGCTCTTTACTTTGTCACCAATAAAATAATCCATAATGACCTTAATGTTCCTTATGTTTCCAATTTGGCCCAATTCAGATACCAATCTTTCCATAATAAACTTCAGAACCATCCGAATCCTCTCGTATCTAACCTTGCTTCCTCTTCTATTCCTGATAACCCTCCGAGGCGTCTGAAAAGAAGATGGCCTCGAGATCTCTTATTGTAAATACATTTTGTTTTTAGAGTGCTACCAGTGGGTAGTTTCTCAACAAGGCATTTCATGTTTTTATTTTCTGTTATCAAATTTACTTAATGTATTTAATTTTTTAATACAGTTGTAAATATCATGTATAAATAAATAAAAAAAAAAAAAAAAATGTTGCTCTATAGCGTTTTCAGTTAACGCCACGTAAAGACCACACATGGTCTTCTTTTACCTAATATAGAAGTTATTTTAGAAGGAAGCTAGTCGACTGTTCTACATATCACGGGTGATAAATATTCAGGACGCAGTCTTTTTTAAGAAAGAAATTTAATTTTTCATTTGTGCCGTTTCAACCCAAACATGTGGGTCATCTTCAGGGCATGATGGCCTGGTTTGAGTACTGAGGGTGTTCAAGTACTCAAACCACGCCCTGAAGATGACCCACATGTTCGGGTTGAAACGGCACAAATAAAAAAAACTTTAAAAAAAAGATTGCGTCCTGAATATTTATCACCCAAGAAGTTATTTTAATTTCACGAATTTCTCTTCACTCAAGCTGGCTACAAATTCCTTCAAATAATTTTTTTTACCTTGAATTTTTTATTGTATAGCAAGTTCTGGTGGTCCTGAAACCTTTTTTTGAAAGATCTGATTTCAGAGTATCTTTCTATGTACCGAAAACCCCAAATCAAATTTCTGAATGCCAATTTTTTTTTTTTTTTTGCTATTAGCTAAATCTAATTATTTATCTTTTTGTGTATCCAGTATGAGGTATAATCGATTTACTCCACATATTACATCTCAATATTTATTAGGCATATAATTAGTTTCATATTCACTTTGTTATCTTTATTGTGAATGTCATTGATTTAGATGCTTTCTTGACATTAATTTAAGTCAGTTTGTCATTTTTATTGAAAAAAACAACTACAAAACATTAATAAGTGTTTATCATAATGTTAACATTGAACTTTTACCCAAACTTACAACTGTATTATAAATTTTACTTATTACGAGGAAATTTGTCTATAGATGAAGGTTACATGAGCTATTACTAATTACTCTTATGCAATACAGGGCAGACATTTACCGTTACTTCACATTTTTATAAACTCAGTTTTGAGTCATTATTGCTGACTTCATATCAATGGAAGCATTAATATTAAAACTATATCTCTAAATATATTTATCCATAGCAATAGTTTCTTTGCAAGTGACGTACGTTTAGAGTTTGTATGGTATTTCACCCTCTTCTTTTCTTACAACTTTTATAATAACTCTTCTATTAGAATTTTTATTAATATATATATATATATATATATATATATATATATATATATATATATATATATATATTCATACCATCTCTTTTATCAAAGCAATAAGAGAAGCTTCTAATCCAATTCTTCATAGCCTGACACAACTGAGTGGTCAGGCATATTATTATTGTTATATTTATCTGTAGACCAATGACAACTCATATACTAAAATTAGGATCTAGGTAATTATCACTAGAAAAAGCTTCAATAGAATATGCTGAATTAGTGGCCATGTCATAAGGGCGATATCGGTGAGTGATAGGATGTGGAGGAGGTTCCATCTTGCTAAGTTGAGAAATGCAGGAAGAACAGAAAGATATTTTGGGACAACTTTTGCATTCCCATCTGAAACCTACAATGGGCTGCTGCTTACAATGATAACACTGAAAAAACAAAACAAAAAACATTACTCTTTATTTAAATAAAGTGAAATAATTGAATGTTATATAAACAATTTGAGATTTTACTTTAAATGATAAATTAAAAAAAAAAAGTAAACTAATTATATAGTAAGTTGGAATTGAACTCTATCGCGATAGAAATAATAATAAAAAAAGATGATTAGGCCATAAAAAAATTTACAAATGCATCAAAATAACCTAAACCCTGTAAAATATGTGAAATAGGCAAACCAAGTGCAGAAAGTTCTGATTTCAGAGAGGAAAAAAAATTACCAAAAAACTTCAAGATTTAATTTTATTATAATGAACCTGTGACCATGAACTTACACAAGATATATGAAGACAAAAAAAATTGAGAATACTTAAATAATAATATATGATTATACACTTAATATAATATACAAATACATATACGTATAATTATTTATTTAATGTATCAGGTCTTTTAGCCATAAGTTTTTTTTTAGGCCCAAAACACAGTAATTTTCCTATTTTATTCTAATAAAATACTTTTTTTAGTATTTTAGCTCAAATTTTATTAAAACACTCACATCATCTCACCAAATACTTTGATATCAAACTTTAATGGTCAAGCTAAATACATTATCTCCCTTAGTTAGTGGCTCACTACAGTTCAGTAAAAAATAAGGAATAAACCAGAAGTAATGAATATAATAATTTTTATAATAAAAGATTGTCAGCCCAAGATTAATACCAGGATATAGTAACACCACTGAAAATAAATGGACATGAAAACAGATGTATTTATGTGTGAAGACTAGCATACTTTGTATCCAATGTGCTCTATCCTTAACTCATCCATATTTTTTTCTTCTTTAAGTTTTTTATAAATTTCTGCCCAATGGGAGAGGTCAGTAGAATCCTCATCACTTTGTTCTTCAGAGTCAGTTTCTCCCATTTCACCCATTGCCATTCCAGGGAAAAATGTAGATGGCCTATACAGGTAGTGTTTGTGACGCTTATGGACATTCAATGCATCCTAAAACAATGTATTTATTTATTAGCAAACATCCACTCTGGACATTTAATCCACTAAAACAATCATGAACATATCAACATCCATACTGAAAAAGCCTGTAAGGACAATTTCTATGGAAATGAGATTTTCTGGTCAATCTTGTCCTGGCGCATATTCTGATCCCACAAAATGAAATCTACGATTTTGTAAAAACCTGTAGTTTAAAACTAGCAAATTGTGATGTAAAAACCTGTAAGTTACAGTGAAGTTATAGAGATTGTATTGTTACTGAAAAAAAAAAAACGTAATGAAATGCTCAAGCAATGAAAGGTGTTCATGTAAATACAGTATTTATAAAGTACTATATGCGTTTTGCACATAGAGAACAGTATAAATTAGCTTTATTGATAGGCTAAAATTAATTTTTCTATACACTTTATATTCTTTTTTTTTAAATTTCTAATAAGTGGCGGACACTTCAAATCCGGCGCCTCTGGGCAAATGCCCAAGTTCTCCTGCTCTGAGGCCGGCACAACTTTCCATGGAACTAGACGAAGCAAAGAAGAGTGTGGTAAGTGGGAATATAAAATTGAACGGCCTTCTAAACAATCGAAACCTCCTGACAACTGCAAAATGGTCTTGACTGGAAAAAAGCTACAATGTTTATGTTAAAAAGCTACAAGAAATCCAGATAGTGACAGACAGAGCATAGATTTCATTAATTGGAAAATTTAACATGAGACAAAAAAAAAAAGAACTCTAGTTTTATCTTTTCAAACTAATGAATCTTCAAAATCGTAAGAAGCTCAAAAACGAAGTGATCTACACATCAGCAGGTTACCAAGTAGTCGTGAATCAAACCATGTCCATATGAAGTTGAGTACATTAAAAATGAATCTTTCATAGACTACTCCAAAATGGGGTGTATGCACTCCATTCAAGCCGTTGCCTGCAGTGAGAGGCAAAAAGTGAATAACCTGAGTGATCAAATACCCGGTTCCAGTTAAATTTTTTTTACAAATTTTCATTTGAAGTATTGTTTCTCTAAATTCTGGAAACTGACTTTGTTCCAGTCATGCTTTGATCATTATTAACAAAGTTATGGATGTCGCTACAATAAATTTGGTTGCTTTTACCTAACTAATACCTGTTTTTCAAAGTAACTAAAAATCTACAAGGTAGAAATAATGGCTCTTAGATTATTTGGCAGAAATATGATAAAAACGAGTTACCTACAGTAGTAGGTCTTTGTAGTAGGCCTGCATACGAAATTGAATGAAAAATATAATGCTCATAGAACAAAAATTACACTGTTTTATTTTGTCTTCTGAAAATTTTTAGTTTTTGTTCTTAAAGGCTTTTGTAGTGTGACTGTCAATATTTTACAAAAATATATATTGCTGATATAATAATAATTTTTACTGTTTTTTTGCGAGATGTCTTCCGAATTTCTTTATTTCTAATACCAGCTTTCGCAAGTTTTTTATAGTATTTCTGTACTCTACTACAAACTTGTTGTGGAGTGCGATTCCCTTAAACATAACAGCATCATTAATATTAACTGAAGATTAGTACACTAAATTAATCTATATTTTAAAAGTAATTAATTAAAAAATATTATCGAATATTTAATAGTTGACCGTTGCATTATAAAGGAAGGAGATGGTCCGGGGTTGCGGTCATAAAAAGGCTAAATAGTGGTAAAACTATTTAGCCTTTTTATGACCGCAACCCCGGACCATCTCCTTCCTTTAAAAAATATTATCGATAAGATTATTTAGAGAAATTGACTTAGCTGTTTTCTTTCTTATACAATATTAATTTTATAAATTAGCTCTCAGTTTATTTGCAGGAGATCGGTCATGTTCTCATTATTCTAGAACAGGGGTCTCCAAACTATGGCCCACAAACCGCCAATGTTTCTTTGATTATATGGTAAAATTTTAAAAACTGTTATAAAATATGAAATTTAGTAAATCCCTCAAAAAACGAGGTTACTACGATATTAATTACATGAGTTGTTTCTTTTAGAAAGCTCATTTCACAATGAAGTGTCATTTATAAAACAAGCTTGTTTTTTTGAGGTCCAGTCCCAATGTGGCCTGGGGGCCAAAGTTTTGGAGACCTCTGTTCTAGAAGAACTTTAATTTTTCTACCAAATTCACTACCACTGAAAATGCAAAGAGTTAAATAAATTTAGAACTTTTTTCAGTTGTTGAATGATATATTGTTAAAATATTTAAATTTTAAATATTTTTAACTAATATATTTTTTTCAGAAATATTTTAAATTATCCTCATGATTACAAAATTCAGTGTACATGAATAAATTAATGCAGAAAATAATTTTGTTAAACTACATTAAATTAAATTATTAGAGATAAAACTAAATTAACTAAAACAAATTTTTAACATAAGTTACATCAAATTTTAATTTATTTGTAATGTTTCAGCCTTATTTTGGCCATTTTTAAATATCACATTTATATATCTTTTAAAAGACTTATTGAAAATATAAATAAAGTTCATTACTCTAAATAAATAATTACCAAGTGCTTTAGCAATCTTTTCAAACCTCCGGCTTTCGATTGGCTCAGGTGGATATTGAACTAATAACTGTTCTAAACGAAGTTGCTCTTCGACCGTCCACAGCTGAAAAATAATAACATTTTTTTAAAAGAACAAATACAATTTTTAAAAATTTGCGTAAAACAGCTAATACACATACTTGATTAAATGTTCGGGGTTTGTTTTCATTATATACTCTTCCCCGCACTCTTATTTCTGATCCCGAATTATCTTCTTTGACAGAGACTTGATTTTTTGCCATTCTCCGAGTAAATAATTGGTTTTGTTTATTGTTAATTAAACTTAAACATTTGTACTTGGAGAAATCTATTTCAGGAACCTAAAAAAAAAAAAAAAAAAATTATAATGTATATGATACAAAAGTAATCTAAAAAAAGGGCAAGGTGAAAATAACAACTTTAAGTTTTAAATGAATAAAAACTATATGTTTAGATTATACTTTGGTCATGATGTATAAAATATGTAGACAAAGGAAGTAAAAATAATGGAATGGTCTAACTACAGATAAAAATCATCATTTTCCCAATAAAGTAGTTATGATAATATGTTTTTCACCCAGATCTCTTCTATAGGAATCGATCTGTATTTATAAATGACAAACTATATGTTCCTGATCCTAATATTAACGTTTTCATTAAAATTATTGAAGCAAGCAGAAGGTTTCTTTATTTTAAACATGACTTTTAGGAGTAGAAACATTTATTTTGCCATTTCCTAAATATGGATCAATTCCTATAGAAGAGATCTGGGTGAAAAACACAGTTTTATAACTATTTTACCAGAAAAAAAGTAGTATTTTTCAAATTGATTTATAAATGAAAAGTGTATTTAGGCAATTATGTTTATTATGACACATCCAAGATCATGAAGAAACAAGATATAAAAGCTTTGTAACAGTTAATTATAGCCAATTTTGCTGAAAACAGGGGTACTTTTACTTGACAGGCTATAAAAGAACTTCATATTTTATACAAATTGAGGTGAACCTCAAGTTTTTCCCTAATAAATCTCAACTTAATTAATATGGACTTAAAGCATATTAAACAAAGAAGTTTTTCTAAAAGTGGGATATCTGTAGTATAGTTGAATGATAAAAAAAAAAAAAAAAAAGTGAATGATTTATTAAAACAGAACTTAGTTTAGCCACTCAAGACATCCTCTTTAAATGATTTTAACAATGACTGACTATATTTTCATTTGAAGTAAATTTTGTCTAATTTACAGTGAAGCAATTGATAATTTCTTAAACTAAATATTTCTCTAGTTCTCGCTTCCTATTTAACAAAACATACAAAATGATAAAACTTGACTTTCCTACTTCCTACTGCTGAAAATTGGCCCATTGTTTACATGAACTAGACATTTGTCTGACTTTAGCTAATTCATTATATATACAGGGTGTTTCAGTGTTAAGTGGCCAAACTGTGAAAAAGAACTAAGGACCTCAAAACAAGAAAAAAATTTCCTCTGAAGGAATGTCTGCAAACGCTTTGTTTAGGAGGTATTCACACCTAAAGATTTTCATTGTTATGAATTATTTACGTTATATGAAATAAATAAAACCTATTTATTTGTTTTAACTACTTTATTAACTAAATGTTGTTAAAAGTGATTTCATTGGGCATTAAGACAGATTCGGCATCTTTCTTCAACAGCAGCCGTGGCAGAACGGCGCTGGATATGTGTTATTGTTTCACAAGATTCAATTATCCTTCTTTGTAATGAATTAAGGTCATAGAACGGACTTGCATAGACTTTTTGTTTGATGTCACCCCAAACACAAAAATCCAGTGGAGTCAGGTCTGGAGAGCGTGCAGGCCAAGCCACTGGTCCTGCATGGCCAATCCATTGATTGGGATATGATTGAATCTTGTGAAACAATAACACATATCCAGTGCCGTTCTGCCACTGCTGCTGTTGAAGAAAGATGCCGAACCTGTCTTGATGCTCAAGTAAATCACTTTGAACAACATTTAATATGAACGGTAAATACTTATATTTAATTAATAAAGTAGTTAGGAACAAATAAATAGATTTTATTTATTTCATATAACATAAATAATTCATAATAATAATAATAATAAGGCTTAGCGAACCCGAAGGTTCGATGCCGACACCACCAATCGCTTGTTACACACCTCCCTCCACCGTTCGCCGTCCAAACCCAGTCCCTTCAGATCGGCTTTAATGCAATCTTCCCACCTTCGCTTCGGTCTTCCCCTCGGACGCTTACCATTCGGCACAGCAAATATTAACTTTTTAGGAATTCTCTCGTTACTAAGCCCAACAACTTTACAAGCCCATTTGATTCGCCGCGATGAAATTACCTCAATTATATTACCCGGATACATCTCACGCAATTCGGCGTTTTGTAACCGTCTGAACTCTCCGGTTAACTCATCCTTCTTCGGTCCGAATATTCTACGCAATACTTTATTTTCAAAAACCTTAAGACGCTGCTCATCCCTTAATGTAAGCGGTCAAGTTTCGCATCCATAAAGAACTGTAGGCAAGATAATTGTTTTATAGATTCTAATTTTTAAGTTTCGGGACAAGAGGCGCGAACTAAGTAGTTTTGTCACAGAAAAATAACAAGCATTCCCCGCCTTCAGTCTAACCTTAATCTCTTCTTCAATTTCGTTTTTTCTAGTTATCGTAGAACCTAGATACCTAAATTTATCTACCTGTTCAAACATATTACCATCTATATCGATATCACCAGTAGTATCGCCATTTTTGCAGCTAACCATATATTTTGTTTTATCCACGTTTATTTCGAGTCCTAGTTCTTTACCGGCTTTCATTAACGTTGTCGTATTTAGTTTTATAGTTTCAACGTCTTCGCTTAACAGTACCAGATCATCAGCATAGCCCAGCACGGATGTTGTTCCGCCCAGATCCAACCCTTTCTCGGTTCGCATTACTTCCCTAATGGCATGTTCTAATGCCAAATTGAACAGGATAGGCGAAAGAGAATCCCCCTGTTTTAAGCCCGAACGAACCTCAAATTTTTCGGACAAATTATTACCGATTCTAACTATATTGAGTGTCTCCGTCAAGCACATCCTGACTAGATTTACTAGTTTTTTAGGAATCCCCTGCTCGATTAGAATATTATACAGTTTCTGGCGGTCAATAGAATCGTAAGCCTTTTTAAATCTATATACAGCTGGTGAACAATACCTTATACTCAATTTTTTCTCTAATATTTGCCAAAAAAAATAATAAAAAAAAAATAAATTAAAAAAAAAAAAAAAAAAAAAAAATAAAAAAAAAAATAAATAAAAAAAAATAAAAAAAAAAAAGAAATATTTGATCAATAGTCGAACGATTCCGTCTAAATCCGCATTGGTAGTCTCCGATAATTTCCTCGGCGTATTCCGTGATTCGACTGGTTAAGATTAAAGTGAATATTTTATAACATACCGGAAGGAGTGAAATTCCTCGATAGTTATTACAATCCGTCCTCGGACCCTTTTTGTGAATCGGAATAAGAATAGATTCTTTCCATTCTTCAGGTAATTTCTCGTTCACCCAGATCTTTTTAACCAACCGATGTATTTTAGAAACTCCAGCTTCCCCGCATGCCTTAATTAGTTCAGTAGGAATATTATCGATTCCCGCTGCTTTATATGATTTTAATTTTCCGATAGCTACTTCAACTTCCTCTTTACTTGGTCCTTCTATTAACGGTTCAGCACTCTGGTACTCAGAAGGAGGACACAGATCATAATTTCCCGTATTTAAAATATTGTCAAAGTGGTCCTTAAACTTATTCAATATGTCAACCGGATCGGTCAGAATATTGTTATTATCATCCCTAATTCCAGACGTTACGGGCCCTACATATTTACGTGATCTGTTTATACCTTTGTACATGTCTCTTACGTTATTTTCGATTCTATTAGTTTCTATTTCAATTATTTTATTTTTAAGATACTCCCTTTTTTTATTTTTGAGCAATTTTGTCGTTTCGTTCTTTGAGATTCGGAAGTATTCCAGATTGTCTTCGCTAGGATTATTTAGAGCTTTTAATTTAGCGGCTTTTCTTTTTTCACACATGTTTAAGCAATCTTCATCAAACCACGGTTTGTTATTCTTATTTTCCTTTTTTCCTAGACACGAGTTACCGACCGCTTTAATATTATCTCTGATCTCTATCCATAACTTGTCAATATCCTCGTGGTCCTCGTCAGGAAGCTCTAAAGCTTCAAACCTATTCTTAACATCTAGCTCGAATTGGTTTCTAATTGATGGATTTTTTAATTTTTCCAAATTAAAATTCTCAAAATCGAAACGGTTTTCTTTTCTCTTTTTTATATTAAGTTTTTGTCGAAGTTTCGCGATTACTAATTCATGATCCGACCCACATTCTGCTCCGCGATAAGACCGTACATTAATTATACTGCTTTGCCAGCTGTTTGTATCAAGACATGATCGATTTGATTTCGTGTTTGCGAATCCGGTGATGTCCAAGTATATTTATGAATATCCTTATGTTTAAACGTCGTACTTTTAATTATCAGGTTTTTCGAGATGGCAAAGTTTATCAGACGGATCCCATTATCATTACTATATTCGTGCAAACTTTCTTTACCAATCGTCGGAATATAAACTTCTTCCCTTCCTACCTTTGCGTTCGCGTCACCTACAATTATTTTCATGTAGTTTCGGTAGTTTATCATAAACCCATTCGAGTTTATCGTAAAATTCACTTTTGACTTCATCGTCACTGTCTTCGGTCGGACAATGTATGTTTATTAATGCGATTTTAAACCAACGTCCCTGAAATGTAGCTACCGAAATTCTATCACTAAAGAATTGTACGTCCCTCAAAGCGGATAGTAATCTACGCCTAATTAGAAACCCGGTACCTAAACAATGATTCCCGCTTCCTCCGTACCAAATAGTGTACTTCCCTTCCCTCATCGAGCCCTCCCCTGGCCAGCGAACCTCTTGCAGAGCCACGACATCCAAATTGTACCCATTTACCTCATTCGCGACCGATTTTAGCCCCCTGCTGTGTTTAAACTCCTTACGTTCCACGTACCAATATTTAAATCCCTATATTTCAACTTGCGCCATGAATCCCCTAAAGCAGTCCCCACCCGGAGACCCGAACGGGGGACTAGTTTACCTCCGGATAATGAGCGTTTTACCTTAGGAGATCCATGACTTTTTGTGGTGTTTGGTGAACTAAAGATATGTGAGTAGGGCGTTCAATCCTACGTCACACCCTCCAGCAAGTCTGGTGGGCCCCTACCTCCAGCAAGTCTGGAGGTCCCCTCCCTCCAGCAAGTCTGGAGGCCCCTCCAGCAAGTCTGGAGGGCCCCTCTCATTGTTGGTCAGCGAGTCCATCGGACTTAGCCGGGAGGAACTTCCAAGGAATTTCCACCGACCATCCCCACATCCGCCACCCGTGGGACGCTCCCCATACGCGGTAATGAGCCCGCGCGAGGCATAAATAATTCATAACAACGAAAATTTTTAGGTTTGAATATCACCTAAACAAAGCGTTTGCGGACATACCTTTAGAGGAAATTTTTGTTTTGGGGCCCTCAGTTCATTTTTGCAGTTTGCCTACTTAACCCTGAAACACCCTGTATATTTTAAATTAAAAAATTTTCCTGCTACGTCTAGACACTTCCAGGAGAGCTTCGTTACAATAGAGCTATAATTCTGAATGCAGGGTTGTTTTCTTGATGGAACAATAACATAGAAGTGTGGTAAATTTCAGTCATAATATTTAAGCATGTCCAAATGGTTTGCAGTTTATCTCAGGTTTCAAGGTTTTGTATAACTTTACAGTCTCTCCAAATTAGAGGGTTGAAAATTTATATGTGAATTGTGTTGGTTTTCAAAAATGAGAGGGGCAATCCAGCAAGTCTGGAGGGTGTGAGGTAGGATTAAACGCCCTACTCACATATCTATAGTTCACAAAATACCAGTCATGGTATCAGCATTGAAACTTTGGGTTCGCTGAGGCTTATTATTATTATGCTGGTATTCAGAAGTGCTTCTTATGGATTTCAACTTTCTTTTTTCTCCCTCTCCATTGTTTTGATAAATTAAAATTATGTAAACAGGAGAACTTTAGACCTAGGGGAGTGAACACTACTTCAAAATTAGAATAAATATATTGTTTCTGACATCTATAAACAATTTTTAATTCAGAGTGAACTGATTTCAGGTTTCATAGAGAATTCACACTGAAATTGTGACTCCATCAGTTTCTACTAACAAAATCATTATTTTGGTTAGGGGTAATGTTACTCAAGATATCAATTTCCCCTCTTTTAGGGTAGGAAAAACGATAACACCCTACAATTGTCATTCATCCTTGTCGAGTGGGCCAAGATCTCATGTTCAAAGTATAAATGAGATTCCGAGAATAGCCAAGGGTTACAACTTGTTCACATCATAATCTCCTTTTATTTAGATCATGATTTATGACTTTGGAAAACCTCCTATTGGCCCTTTTCAGTTATCTGATCATTAATTACATCAGTATATTTGACTTCTGCTCACTCAAAGGGGATAAACAAATCCCCAACAGGTCCTTTGCAGTTGAGGTCAGGACCTTATCAGATGGTCACTACCACATACTTTCAAAGACAGACCACAATCTCATGTCTCCCATGAATATGGTCTTATTGAAGTAGTTCTGCTGCTCATGCTTTTTTAGTTATAGTATATTTTTTCATTTCAAACCCATTAAAATTTGCTTTGAAATTGAACATTCATAGTAACATCTTTACATGTTTTTAAGAATATATGAAAAATCTAGATCTCGAAAATCAGCACAGAAAACCTGTCATGTTTAAAATGGCTCGTCCTACTTACTTTTTCAACTTTACATCTATTCAGACATGCTAACTTTCCTTCCAAAATCTGTTGCTTTACCAATGTGGGTTCTTCAACAGATCTGTTTTTTAGCTCTTCTAGGCCATCAATGTCCTTTAAAATTAACATTAGTTAGATTTCAATTCATTTATTGAATTAAATAAAACACTGTAAAAATTCTTACCTTACAAACACTAATTCTTTGAGCTTCCAATATCGCCAAGCTTTTCATAAGTTTTAAATAGTCAGCATTACCTTTCAATGGAAGATAATCTGTTTCAAAATAAAATAAACTATCATCTTCACAAGAGTTATGACCTGTCTTGCTGAAATTGGATACGAATTCGTTAACACCTTCGGGACGTTCCGTCATTTTCATAAAGATTGCATAAAGAATTCCTAAACCATTAAATATTCTTTAAACAATTATGAAGTGACAGAAAGGACATTAAAGATTCCCCGATAACAGCAATGAAACCTACTTCAAAACCACGCTCGGCGACCTCCACTGGTTTTGTTGAGGTGTCGGGAGTTGATGAGCTGCCAATGCATTTTTCTCACGCTCTTATCTACCATTTGAAGTTTCTTAGATGAGTTTGACTTTATTGATAAACAGAAATTCATAATTCTCCAAAATGGAAACAATCTTACGGTATGTTGATGCCTCTCTGTTCTTATTATCTGAGGTGTGTTATATTTATTTGTTATTTTATTATTCTTTTAAAGGATTAGTATCTACTGAAAACATGATTTATTTGTTTTTTTTTTATTTAAATAACGTTATATAAGTGATTATGATCTTATCTTCACCCCATAAATTGTAGACTACATCCTCTTTCATAATTAAATCTATTTATTTAAAAGACATCTGAATTATATTTATATAATTTTTGTGAAATTCATTTAAGATGTGGTGAGTTATTTTTTAAAATCTTTTATTAATTTCATTTTTCTTCTTATTTTTACTTAATTTTGTGTTGATTTCAGGGATGGAATGTTACTGGGTATGGGAAACCCTTTACTTGATATTTCAGGAGCCACTGAAGATGCTATTTTAGAGAAATATAATTTACAGCCAAACGATGCCATTCTAGCCGAAAAAAAACACATGCCTCTATATCAAGAATTAATTGAAAATTATAAAGTTGATTATATTGCTGCAGGATCAACATTAAATTCTGTCCGCATTGCACAGGTAACTCATTTACCTATGGTAAATTGTTTTTTTTAATTTTTATTCAGTCTAATTAATTGCAATATTTCAGTGGATTTTACAAAGGCCAAATGTATGTGCATATATAGGCAGTGTTGGTAAAGATAAGTTCAGTAAAATTTTAGAAGAGAAATCAAGGGAAGATGGTATTCTTGCCAAATTTCAGTTCACAACTGAAAGACCTACAGGTAAAATTAAACTTAATATTGTGATTGTTAGTAGTAAATTATTCATGATCTTTTTGAATTATGAACTTCCACTTACAATTTAAATTTGTGATCCTTGTCAAAAATATCAGCATAAATCTGTCAATTGATAATTTATGAGGAACCTATTTTCCTTAAGTAAATTAAAAAGGATAATTTTATTTTTAATAGAAACTTGTTTCTCTTTCAAAAATAGTCCCGTTCATAGGAAAAAATATTGGTAGAAATCCGTACTTTCTCCTTATATTAGAGGAAATCTAGATCTAGTCCAAGTTTTCAAGATTTACATAAATCATATTTTAAATTGTGTAATGTTATAACCTCAAGATTAGAGTTTGTCTCAAAACCTTTTAATTAGCAATATTTAAACGAGTTTTACTATCATTCTGTAAATGAATGAATATTTTGCTTCTAAAACTTTTTGCCCTGCATTTTGGAATAAAATAATAAAACATTAATCACATGACACATTTTATTTTGCCTCTGTTTTTTTCTGTCAATTAACACAGTCTTAGAGGTGAAAGTATAAATGATACTAAGGCCAACGGTATTTCATTAAAGTTAGAACAGCTCCTTCATTATGGAGTACAAAATACTGATGATCAAAAATATGTTTTTTAGGATGAACGATAATAAATTTTCAGTAATTTTGTTAAGTTTATGCTGTAGGATTAACTATATTTATATATACCTATGTAATTATTTTATTTACCATTATTTTTCTTTATAATTATCTGATTTCTTGAAAATAGAAAAAAAAATTTTGATCTGTTTTTTACTTCAGTAAATTTATGTTATCATCTCGTGTTATTCTAATTTATTCAATTATATGTTAATAGTTTTTGAAAAGTATTGTATTTATTACTAAATTTTGTAGTATTAAGTTTTTACATATCTGTAGTTGAGAGAGGCCAATTTTCTGTTATTTTTACAGAAAAGAAGAATCATTGCTTTGGAGGGTAATCTTCAATAACTACTCATTTTTTATATGGTTACTCTTATCATTCTTTCATTTCGTGGAGTCTTGATTTATTGATTTAGGAGATTTATTCGGTAATTTTACAACTCTTGATTGCAGATATGTTTTAAAATATAACTATTATGAATCTACCTGTATACTTATATTTTTTTACCAACTTAATTATTTTTAGGTTCATGTGCTGTTCTGATTACTTCAAATGGCCACAATCGTTCGTTGGTTGCCAATCTGGCAGCTGCTGAATGTTTTACCAGAGATCACTTGGATGACCCAGAAGTTTCAAAAATTGTTGCTAATGCAGAGTTTTATTATTCTTCAGTAATTTTTGTTTTATTTTTCCTCATTTAAATTTATTAATTGCCATTAGTTTAATGTTGATTATGTTTTAGGGTTTTTTCCTCACTGTAAGTATTGAAACAATATTAGAAGTAGCTCAGGTCGCCCATAGACGCAATAAATATTTTATGATGAATTTAAGTGCTCCATTTCTGCCGATATACTATAAAAAACAAATGATGCAGGCGATGCCTTATGTTGATATCCTTTTTGGAAATGAAGCTGTAAGTTTTGTTTTGTATTAAATATTTCTGCTTTTGTCTCTCCCTTCAGTTATTTGTATATTGCTGAAAAGTGTATAACAATAATTGAACATGAATGACACTAACTTAAGTTTCATGATTTCATAGATAACTTAAACAGTTTAAATGAAAGCCACTTTAGGAATTGACTTTTGATATAACTTTAGGGAAAAAAAAAAAAAAAGTCTAATGTGTGCAAGTGCCTTTTGGAAGAATTTTCAGCTGACTCAAAAAGAGCTAATTTTATTTAATGAGCATTATCAACATAATAAAATATGCTTCTTAATCTAAAAAAATAATTTTCTTAAATACATAGGTTGCCCTTGTCAAATTGGGTATTCGATACTTTCGTTCATATTGAATTATTTGTGATTAAGAATAGTTTAAATAATGTTTTGTTCTACAAGTCATAGGTTGAATCCATTGTTTAGAATCCTCTTATGACTTTTCTTCTATAAAATAGGGATTTTTCTCTTTATTGTGATTTGGGAAAAATCTGAATATTTAGAGATAATAATTGATATAATATTAATGCCTGATTCATCTGAGAAATATTATGTAATCTATCTGGGTTTATATTATTACTAGAACCTCTTATGTTTATATGTATTAAATTAAAATCTTGGATTCTTATATTTATTACATTGAAATTCTGGACATAATATTATTTACATTGTACGAGTTAATGTATTTTTAATTAAGAATTTTTAACCTATAATGTTTCAATAATCATAGGTAATGCTTTTGTTTAATTTTAGGAAGCTCTTGCGTTTGCAAAAGAAAACAATTTTGAGATTGATGATATGAAAGAAATTGCTCTAAAAATTACTACACTCCCGAAAGAAAATCCTAATCGACCTAGAGTTGTTATAATAACTCAAGGAACATTACCAGTCATCGTTGCAAAAGGTAATTAGCATTTCGTGTATTAATTTTAATTAATCAACATGACATTTCTTTATAAACATATATAAAATATGTCAATTACTTGAAGATATAATATCAGATTTGCTATATCATTTTTAATTTTTTGATTATTAGTAATAACAATGTTACTACGGATGTTATTAGTAATAACAATAACTATCAATAAAAACAAATTAAACATTTTTACAAAAATGAAAAAAAAAATTAAGTGGAAAATTTAATGTTTGAATTCAACAACTGTATAATGGTGTATATAGATGTTTTTATTTTATTTTTTTCAATTTTTATCATTCAGCATGTATCACAAAACTTTTAGGTGAAAACTAGAATTTTCCATGATCATTGTTTCAAAAGGTATTAATTTTCTGTTGTGATATTAGGCTTAACGATAAGAATGTTGAATAAATATAAATAAATATAACCAATGGTGAATAATACCATATTTCTATCAATGGTTTTTGGTCTAATTCCTTACCTTGTCCATTCATTCTTCCTGAATTACTTGTCCATATCAAATAAAAGTTAAACTGAAAAATTGAGTGTGTTGAGAAATCAATATTTACATTTAGAAAAATTGTTGTTATTGTTCTTCTCTTTTGATTAATATATATATATTCATAATACTTAACATCATAACATAATAAGCAAACATCACTTTTTTTAAATAATATCTTTCTTGGTTGTAGTATCTATAAATGTGATAAGTAGGTTACTTTGCGCAAGAAAAAGGGGATACTTTGCTCCAGTAAACAAGTGGTGCTAATTGTCCAAATTTGCTCATTGCCTAATTTGTTTAAAAGTTTTAATATTGCATATAACAGAAATTTCAAATTAATTAGAAATAAAAAAAATATACTGGTTTTAGATTTATTTTGGTTGTGATTTATATTGGATGAAAATTTCTTTTTTTAAATTTTATTTAAATTAAAAATGTTAATTAAGGTTAAAGAAAGAAATGGTTCTTCTCAAAGAATATTTAAACAAAACCTCTTTTTTAACACATATGTTTTTAGTGATTATTTTTGGTGATGGAGACTATTTTTTATTATTAGTTTTTGATTCTTAGGGGTTTTCAATGAGTTTTAGGAAGTAGTGCAAATTATCCCACCAGCAATCAAATACCAACACAGTATAATTTTTTTTTTTCTGACTCCTTTAAGTGGGTAAAAAACACATGTTATCACAAAAAGCCTATGCATTGTTATGTTTGACCGCTGAAAGGCATGGAACGATTTTTTTACCAAAAGGCTGGACTGATTTTTAGTTTGTTGCCTTAAATTGTTTCCTGAGATCCCATGACTGATTCAAAACACTAACTAACTTTTGATCATTTTATTATGAACCTATGGCTTATAATAGTTTTTCTCATTGAAAAGTCTACTTTTAGTATACTATCCTGATTTAAGAATATAAATTTATTTATATATATATATAATATATATATATATATATATATATATATAAAATGTATTTTTACAACTTTTCCTTAATCGACCTTTGAGTATTAAATTTAAACATAACTATTTAATTGGGAATAAGGTCACTTATTAATTATTTAATAAACTACTGAATGTTCATTTCCTCTATGTTTATTGACATTTCGGTCCCGGTATTTTCTTTTTATAAGTCAATGATGGGATTCTCTTCAAAGCTAGAATTTTAAAAAATAGAGCTTCGATCAGGCCAGGGACACACCGACAGTCCCAGCACCGTCCACTAGCACATATATTAAGCTAGACAGCTTAATATATCTTAAGTAGTAGCTTAATATATGTGCTAGTGGACTGTGCTGAGACTGTCGGTGTGTCCCTGGCCTGATCGAAGCTCTATTTTTTAAAATTCTAGCTTTGAAGAGGATCCCATCGTTGACTTAAAAAAAGAAAATACCGGGATCGAAACGCCAATAAACATAGAGGAAATGAACATTCAGTAGTTTATTAAATAATTAATAAGTGACCTTATTCCCAATTAAATAGTTATGTTTAAATATATAATGTATATGTATTATTAAATAATATCTTATGTTTTGTGCCTGGCAAATTATGAATTATAAATAAATATATTGTATCAAACTTCTATGTTTAGAGGGATCTACTACTGAATACCCTATTCCTCTTATTCCATCAGAAAAAATTGTTGATACTAATGGAGCTGGCGATGCCTTTGTTGGAGGTAAACATTTTTATTTTTTATAATTATCAAACATAGAGTGTGGATAAGCTACACTATCACTATTACTAACACCCTTAATTGTGACAAAATGTAATATTACTCAATGAATAAATATGTTATTTAAAATAATTATCAATTTAAAAAAAATAATATATATATTTTTTAAAGGTTTTATGGCCCAGTTCATCAAAGGTGAGTCTTTGGATATCGCTGTAAAATGTGCTATTTGGGCCGCTGGTGTAATTGTCCAGAATTCTGGATGTACTGTTACTGGGAAACCAGATTTTGTCCCTTATTAAGATATTTTTATTTCATTTTAGGGTTTATATTGGATTTTTGATTTATAGATGAATTTTTTGTTGTTATATATATTTGCAGAATCTAAAAACATTAGGGATTTTCAGTTTCTTATGAATTACTGAATTATAATTTAAATTTTTTTTTCTTTTAGACCTGCATTTATTTATTTCATGTTTTCTTATAGTTTTAATTGTACGTAGGCACAATCTTTTTATGTTGTGGTTTTATAATTAGGAAAATTAATGTTTATCATTATAGTACAAATTTTAATTAACAAACAATATGTATGGAAATGTGCTCATTGTTGGCTTAGGTTGTATGAAACATTTCGATTGTTAAAGATTTACAGTTGTTACTTTGGCTGTGAATTAAAACTATTTATAGTTGCCAAAATAAGTTTTCCCTTTACAATTTTGTTTCAATATTATTTTATATGTACTTAATCCGTGCCTTAAATAAGCAATCGATTATTTTCATAATTGAAAAGTTATAATATTTTTAGTTAATATTTATACTATTCGTAAGTAATAATGACTTATTTCCTGTTTTGATGTTATAATCTGTTGTATTGTACTTTATGTAATAAAGTTGTTAAATTTTATTAGAACTTTTATATTGCCTGTAATAAAATTTTAACTTCTGACAATATTTTTGTCTTGATGTGTATGTTATAATTTGTAAATAAGTAAGTTTCTAAGCTTGGTACTGAGTTTAAGAACTTGCCCAACTTTGAGTGAACACAGTTAAATATATTGGGAGTCAGAGATTTATGGAGAATTATCTGAGGCTTTGCAATGATGAAATTCCGCTGTTTGAATGACTGGAACAGCATGCCGTAAGGAAACAGCCTATCTCACAGTTTTTTTTAATCACATTTAACATTAATATTATTAATCCGCTTTTATCTAGAGATCGTAATTTTATATAGTATAATATTTGTTTAACTTTTTGGGCAGGCAGCTTGTACACAGAAGGATAGAGCATCCATAAGGACCCATTTAACACCTCTTCTAGCAATGAATGCTCTTTAGTGAAACAGAGTAGATCTAATTAATCAAGTTTGATCATCGTCAATCACATTGTATTAATGTAATATTACTAGTTGATATATTATTTGACCCTAGATTTTTCAAGTTAAATTATGACTTAGTTTTGGCTTCCATAAATATCAGGATCTCAATAATATCTCAAGGAGAAATGAATTCCTCGCAAATTTAGTTAACACTTACTTTTTTTTTTTTTATGACGTAGGACCCAAAAATAGAAGAGGTAGTTCTGGTGAATGAAGGTGGTAATTTAGTAGGTTAGTCTATAATCCAAATATGTGGTAGAGAAACAAAAAAAAAAATTTGTAAACAACTTCCTTTAAAATCTGATTCACCAAAATCATAAGAGCTTTAATTAGATAGTTTGGTTTATTGACTGATGTATATCTATCACACCTGCTCTAATGTTTAAATTTAAAATTTAATAAATAGAAGAATTTAGTACAATAAAGGAAGTATGCTACAATTAATTGCCATTCTATTTACTCACAGTAAATTTTGACAAGAATATACTGCTGTATACGTCCACTCTTTCAAGATTTTGATAAATCTCTAAGGATCCTTGAAATTGCTCCTCTCCCTCCAAATCGAAGTGACTTCTGGCTGAATATGAAAGAAATCCTACTCATCATTGGAGTACTAACAGGCCACTGTAGACTTAAAAGACATTTAAAGATCTGTGGGATTGTGGATGATGTACTCTGCAATCTTTGCAGAAGTGCATCTGAAACTGCCCTCCACTTCATAACAGAATGTGACCGATTTGCGTCACTCAGATACAGACTTCTGGGAGCAGACAGAGTCCAAGTATGCAAAGCTGTCTCCATAAAATGGCCCAATCTTTTGAACTTCATTAGAAGAACAAAAAGGTTTGAGACGGAGTTGGAGGTACAATAGACAACCGTTGGTAGTATCATCTTTGGGATTGGAAAAAAAAGACCAATAGGTCCACTTGCTGGACTAAGTCCCCCCACCAGTACCATTACCAGTACCAGGATCCTTGAAAACTTTTCTCCCAAGGAGTGCCTGCCACCAAGTATATTTTATCTTGATTCAGTCTTTTGTTTTTGTAATTTTAGCAGTCTTAAAAGTTAGTGTGAAAATTGTGTTTTCTTCCCAGCCTGCCCTTCTGTGTTCATTTTAATTAGGGCTGAAAACTCCGACCAATATGGTGGTAGGTTCTATTTTCTCCTTATGGATTGACAGTTGGGTATTGTCAATAATACACTTAATACTTTCGAAGTGTGCTTAATTTTATGAAAATAGTTCATAAATAAGGGTGTAAATTTCTTTAAAACTTTTTTTATTGATATTTTTATTTTAACCAAACACAAAAAAATTTCTAAAGGACCAGTTTAAAAAAGAAATATACACCTTTAAAATAAAAGGCAACTGTCACTGATGAGAGTTGAAAAAGTATATCCAATCAAAGGACAAGCCTCTGGAATAGAAAGGTATAGGGTACACATAGCATCCTTTCCAAAGGACTTCCCAGTCATGGGGAAAAAACGTAGTATCCTTCCAGATGGACCATCCGCACTTAAAGTATTAAAATCTAAAAAGAAAGAACTAATAATTCCTATTTAGTCTACTATACTCTCAGTACTGCTTTGCAGTTTAAGAAGCCTTCTTGTAGTGTCTGATCCAATTGTTCCTTTCCCAGACCAATTCAATGCTCTACCTCCAATCTACTTCTCTCTTCTTGTAAACCTCTTTAACTCCTTTCTCCCAGCTTTCTCCCTTGTTCTACTTATAGCTCGTATAAGTGTACCGAAATGCCCTTTTATGCACTTCTCTTTCTATAAACTCCTTCATAATGTCTTGTTTCTTATCCTATAGATTGCTTTGATCAGATTAACAGCGTGTGAGAATTCCTGCATCATTTTCTATAACTTTTACAGCCGTATATGACCCTGGATGCTTTTATTCGGCCTGAAGCCATAAGTTTCCTCTCTTAGGGGTAGCTCAATTACTTGTTTGGTTTTCTCTCTAGGATTGTGGAATTAACTTTTCTTGAGATGCTCATAAGCAAGATTTCCAGTTATTTTAATAATCTCTTCTGTCACCACTTTCATATATTCAGGAAATAATGAAAAAAAAAATTCTCGACCACTACAACCCATGAGGGGTCTTGGGTTTTATACTCTGTAAAGAAGAACTGTTTCTTAGTCAACGGTTGTGCAAGAAGTTGATTTATGAGAGATCACGTTCAACACCAGGTTTTCCCTCTTAATTAAGAGTACCAAATTTATAGAGGCTGGGCAAGGGTGCTCAGAAGGGAGTTTCACGGTGCACACTTTGACAGGGTTTTTAATTTTCGAGGGGGACTCTTTTCGATGGGGCTATGAATTTCAAACCACTGAAAGAGTAATTTTATATAACCGATGATTTTTTTACTTATGGTACTTACAACTAAAACTATACTATGGTATTAGAAATAAAAACAATTTATGGTTTTCTTTTGGTTTTTCTAAGTTCTCTCATCCTTTCCTTTGTTATAGTGTTGATACTTCTTCCACTTTTTTCTCCACTCTTATCTTATCTAGTAGTCCATTGATTTTGTTTGAAGTACATACTTTTCGTCCAGAGTGAACTCTGTTCTTGTGCATTTTTCTGCGTGGGAAATATACTATTTAACACGTTAGCAGCGGTTACGGTCTCTGGTGTCTATCAGATGCAATGATTATTTAAGTTTGTGTCTATTTTTACATCTATACATGTACTTACAACTCCCATATTTTTATACATGTACTTACATCTATACATATTTTTACAACTCCCATTTAAATATTTTCAAAATTGATCATTTTATATACTTCGTAAGATTCAATATACTTCGAAATTCAAAATAATACAGATCGAAACCGAGACGAACGTCGGAACCTGAGGATCGTACCCGCAGCTAATAGCTCTGGAGCCAGGGCCCAAAAATCGACCTGATTGCAGGGGAAGGTTTGATTGTAAATTACGAAAGTGTATGTTATTCTGAGTAAAACAAACCTTGTCTGCCGTTCCAGAGCCGCTGCTTTCAAAAATGGCGGCTGATTTAAAGAATATTAGGCCAGTAATTTGAGGATCGAAACGGGAAATCCATTGCGAAAAATGTTAGAAAAGTTTTTATTTTTTTAACTTGTATATATGGGTTTAGACATGTAAAAAAGGAAATTGCTAACGCAGGCCACCAAGGGAAAAATTTTTACAGCCAGAAAAGTCAGATTTTTTTTATATTTTTGGGGTTTTTCGTCTATAACTCCTAAGCAATGCATCAAAGCGAAAAATATATTCTTTAATAAATTAAAGAACGTTAAATTTTGCGTCAAACGAGTAAATAAAATTTAAAATTTGGTTACGCCGTAAGGTATAAACCATGGTCAACCAACTCTGAGTTTTACCAAATTTGTCAAAAACTGCGACAAATTACTATAAATGACCCTGTAACTTGGAAATGAGTTCCCTAAGTGGAAAACACATAGAATCAAAGTTGTAGAGCATCAAATTTTGCGTATACTCAGTACAAACTAATTTAATGCAGGTCACTTGCTGCGAACAAAATAGGTAATCTCCCGATGGTTAGAAATTAGTAATGAAGGTAAACCTGATTTTCAATATTTCAACAGTATGCGTGTCTTTTCTACTGCGTTAGTTTTGTTTAAAGTCTGTTAAATGCAGTATAAGCCTCTTTTTCACTTCTCAACAACAAAAGATTTTGGTAAACGATGTGCCGAAAGATTCCGAATTTTATGAAGGACTAACGAATCCCGATTCAAGATATATAATTGGCTTACAATAAAAATGTCAGTACTCAATGGAAGCAAAATTTGATGCTCTACAACTTTGGTTCTATGAATTTTCCTCTTAGGGAACTCATTTCCAAGTTACAAGGCCATTTATTGTAATTTATCTCAGTTTTTGACAAATTTGGTAAAGCTCAGCGTTGGTTGATCGTAGTTTTATACCTTACCGCGTAATCAAATTTTAAATTTTATGTACTCGTTTAACGCAAAATTTAACGTTCTTTAATTTATTAAAGAATATATTTTTCGCTTTGATGCATTGCTTAGGAGTTATAGGCGAAAAATCCAAAAAATATCGAAAAGATCTGACTTTTTTGGCTGTAAAAAGTTTTCCCTGGGTGGCCCGCGTTAGCAATTTTGTTTTTTACATGTCTAAACCCATATATAAAAGTAAAAAAAATAAAAGCTTTTCTCACATTTTTCGCAATGTATTTCTCGTTTCGATCCTAAAATTGTTGGCCTAATATTCTTTAAAACAGCCGCCATTTTTGAAAGAAGCGGCTCTGGAACAGCAGACAAGGTTTTTTTTACTCAGAATAACATACACTTTCGTAATTTCCAATCAAACCTTCCCCTGCAATCAGGTCGATTTTGGGGCCCTGGCTCCAGGGCTATAACGTTTTAATCGTTAAGCAT